GTGCATAGAGGAACAAAGTTCTTCTGCGACATTTAAGATTTAAAAAAAATCTCTAATTAGATAGTAAGTCACCTTTTACAATTCAGCGGTAGCCGCTCTCTCTCGGTAGTGTACAGTGCAGGAATCTTGTATTAGAAAATCAGTTTACTGAGCTTTTTTCACATCTTAAACAGTGTTCAATCTGAAATCACATCCTAATCTGATAATTAACAAAACCGTGCAGCCTTAAGATTTTTTCAGACTTACATATGTAATTAGGTCTGTGCGTTTCCAGCGTCAGTGCATTTGTACTCCCATGTGTTTCAAATGTCAACATGTATGTCATGAAAGGAACCACAGGGGGCGATGGCGAGTACGCCTTGAATAACAGCACGTTTGTTTATTTATTTAGATCCCCATTAGCTACTGAAATAAAACAGTAGCTATTCTTCCTGGGGTCTTAAAAATTTCTTAACAGATATTACATCAAAGCTGTGCAACAATGAAGACAAACACAGAAGTGCACACGAACACATATACAAGGAACATGACAATACAATATAACGTATACAGACAACATATACACATACATATACACGCATATAAACACACATAAACATATATACACACACATATAACATAACATAAAACAGTACAAGCTCTTCTATACAAAATATTGCCACCCTCTGGGTATTAAAAGAAAAGAAAAAAATAAATAAAATAAAAGTTACTATAGCTCATTATAAAGTACATTTTAATTGCATAACTATTACAGTTACTCCAAAGTAAATAAATACAGTCTAAGTCTTTTGGAAAAACTGATATTGTGAATCTCTAAAACCAAGAATAGCGGGAGCGAGTTCCATGCCACCATTGCCCTATAGCACGATGTCCTCTGAAGTTGATTTGTTCGACAGGCAGGTAACAAAAAACGGCCTTCGCTTGATTGGCGAGTGAAATGATAATGAATGTTACTAAAAAAAGTCAATTTATTATAAATTATTTCAGGTGCTTTTAAAGTAATTGTATTTTTTAGGAATTTAATTTGAGAATAAGTGATTCTGCTTCTTACATGCAGCCATGTTAACTGGTTGTGCATGTCCCTAATACTTGTTCTAAAAGAACAGTTTAGGACAAGCCGAGCTGCTTTATTTTGTGCAATCTGTAATCTATTTATATTATTCTCTGTAGATGTTGCCCAAATGATGGAACAATAGTCCAGATGACACAACACTATTGATTCCACCAAAGTTTTCCGTATTCGAGTTGGTATGCATTTTCTGCAGTGCCGAACCGCGGCCATACTCCTGCCCATTTTATTCAATATTTGTTTTATCTGAGCATTCCAAGTCAGCCTGCTGTCCACAGTTACGCCGAGCAACTTGGCCTCAGCCACTTGTTCAATGATCGAACCACCAACAACCAAGTTCAGCACAGGGGAATCTTTTAAAAGATGATTAGATCCCAACAACATACATTTGCTCTTCGAAACATTAATAATCAACTTATTTTCTTTGATCCAATTTTCTATTAATTTTAGTTCATCATTTAATATAGTATTAAGTCTAGTAGAGTCATAATCTGACACATAAATAGTTGAGTCATCTGCATATAGGGCAATACTGGCACACTCTAAAATGAAGGACAAATCATTTGTAAAAATAGAAAATAACAGTGGCCCAAGGCAACTCCCTTGAGGCACCCCACAATGCAGAAATTTTGTCTCAGAATAACTACCATTAAATAGTACATTGAACTCCCTATTTGTAAGATAGCTACAGATCCATTGGATTGCACACTTTTCAAAACCATAACAACTTAACTTTTCCAATAATAAGTCATGATCAATTAAATCAAATGCTGCACTCAGATCTAGCAGTACAGTCCCAACTAATTTTCTATCATCAATGTCTTGCAACCAATCATCCGTCATCTGAACTAAGGCTGTCGTTGTGGAGTGCCCTTTCTTATAAGCATGTTGATAGGGTGAATTCAACCCATTATTAGAGAAATACAAATTAATTTGATCATACACTATTTTCTCCGTAATCTTACTCAAAATTGGTAGAATACTTATAGGTCTGCTATTATTCCCAGAAAAAGGCTCCTTATTGTTTTTGGGAAGAGGCACAATTTTAGCTTTTTTCCAGTTAGCAGGAAAAACACATTTTTCTAAACTTAGATTAATAATATAGCATATAGGCATATTAATTACATCAGCAACCATCTTTAATAACTTGACATCAAGTTCATCAGAACCTGCAGGTTTATCTTTCATTGACTTTAATATGTTTTCTACCGTCTTCAGACTTACTCGGTCAAGTTTAAATGTACATGATTTATTAAGCATAATTTTATTTTTAATTGTCTTAAACGATAAATCATGGTTTGACTTTGAAATCATGCCTTTTTGTAAATTTTGAACTTTCTTTATAAAATAATCTCCTAAATAATTTGCTATATCAACAGGTTTAGTCAAAAAAGTGTCACCCACATCTAAAAATGTTGGTACAGATTTAGCTCTCCGCCCTGTTAATTGGTTTAATGTATTCCATAATTTATTCCTGTCTGATTTTACTTCTTCAAGTTTGTATTCGTAATGAATCCTCTTTTTTGATCTGTTTAATTTTGTAACATAATTTCTTAACTGCTTATACCTTTCCCATAATGCATTATCCCCTGAGGAGATTGCATCTGACTTTAATTGATCTCTTTCCCTCATATATTCTTTAAGTTCAGCATCTAACCATGGAGAAGCAATATTTCTCACTGTCATTCGTCTTAATGGGGCATGTTTGTCAACAACTGGCGTCAATAAATTTGTAAAGACCTCCAAAGCTAAATCAGGATCTACTTCCCGTAATACTTGTGACCAGTCAATATTTCTCATATCGGCACAAAAACTAGCCTCATTGAAATACTTAAAAATCCGTTTAATTATTATCTTCTGGCCTGGTTTAGGGACTTTGGTTTTTCTATTAATTGCAATTAAATTATGATCACTGAAGCTAACACAAATTGAAATTGCTTTTGAACACAAATCTATTGCATTAGTAAAAAGTAAATCTATGCATGTCTCTGTTTTTGTCCCATCTGTTTTATAAATAATTCTTGTTGGATTTGTGACCACTTGTGACAAATTACAAGTGTCAGCTATAGACTGCAACTTATTTTTTAATGAGCAATTATTCAAACTCCAATCAATATTTAGGTCACCAAGAAAATAAATCTCCTTCTTTAAATCACAGGCTTTATCCAACATATAACAGATTCGATCTAAATAGACTATTGGCGCATTGGGTGGCCTATAGCAGCAACCAACAAGAATAGGTTTCAAGTGTGGTAACTGCACTTCCAACCACAGCGCTTCAACCCCAATACAACCGAGATCCTGTCTAATTTTTACTGGTATTTGATGCTGAACATAAAAAAGCCACTCCTCCTCCATTTATATTTCTGTCACATCTATATAATAGGTAACCATTTACATGCAAAAGGGAGTCGTTTATAGTCGCATCTAAATGTGTTTCAGTTATTGCCAAAATATGCAAATTATTTCCTAGAATCCCTGTAATCTCCTGAATCTTATTTCGCAAACTACTAATATTCAAATGAGCTATTTTTAATCCTTTATTTGAGAGTATTTTATTCATCACCATTATTTATTTTACACGAATGATCACTTCTAATGAAACATATTGAAGAGCTATCAAATGAAGACAAAAGACAAAAAACACACACAACACACAAGGACACACATACACACACATTCCTACATATGCATCTCCATTTTGCCAACATTTGTCAACGACAACTAATAGGGTGTTAAGCCAACTCAGACAAACTTACTATTTTATACATAACTTCTGTGGTTATTAAATCATAATTAATAAATCAAACCAACCACTTAATCTCAGTAGCTAATACCATTTGAACTGATTTAAACCGAGATACTGAAAGCATGTACTTCAAGCTTCAGAAGCCAACCTAATATAATCAGACTGTATAGGTTGCATGCGCAATGTCCATACCTGCGTGCTTTACCATCAGTGTTCATTCGTGCTTTGCATCTCCGGATCAACAACAGTCTTGTAGAATGTCTCTGCAGCTAGGTGGTCAGTAAACTTCATGGTCTCTTCTTTTATTCCAAGCCGGTGCATCCTTACAATCATTGCGCGCTGTCCAGATTTAGCCACAGGTCCAACTCGGTGGGCATTTTCCACTTCAGGTGCGCGATGAAGTTTACCCTTAAACATCTCATTCAGCAAAGTGGAAACGAAACTTGTTGGGTTTCCCTTCTCAACATCTCGAGTCAAGCCAAGAATACGGATATTGTATTTCCGACTATGATTCTCCAAGCGATCGGCTTTCTCTTTCAAGTCCGTGTTCTCTTTACACAAACTTTCGTTTGCCGACTCCAGCGCCGTAACTCTGATCTCCATACGGTTCAGCGATTCCTCCATAGCAGCAACTTTGTTGGAACACTCAGTCATGTCTTTTTTAACGGCATCAAGTTGCGGTTGGAGTTTATCAACCGCCACGTTGATTTCTTCACGTATTATGGTTCGGATTAATTCTGACAGCTCCTGCTTGTTGATATTTTTTCCTGCTTCCATGTTAATCACAGGCACCTGTTCAGCGGGGCCGAGTCCACTTAGCTTTGTTTGCGCCCTGGTTTGCTTCTTCTTTAACATATCCCAGCTCTCTCACCAGATCAAGTCAACATTCATACTCGATTGGCCGTCATTACAGATCAAAAAAGATAGTTAATTACCACAGTATTTTCGCGAGTTTGTCTGAGATTGGCGTTCTCCCAATCTGCTCAGCCTTGACGCATGCTCAGTCAGGTCTGAGTGAAACACAACAAACCTGGCGCAGCGGGACTCGAGATGGAAACAATATTAACTACACGCAGGTGTGCAGGGCAGATCCGTGAGCTCCGAGGCGGGAAAACAGAGCGATTCCTGGTGACGACTGGATGTGTGTGAAAACTGGACCACTGATACGCGATGTCTCCACAGCTGCCGCGGGATCGCAGCCGCGCGCCAAGCAGAGAGGATGAGAGGAAGTCTGCAGAGAGCATGGCTTACTCAGTCTTCAGCTGCCCTCCTTTTCCTCCTCCTCTGCACAGCTCTGGGGTAAAAGCTCTTCTGTATCCTTGTGTTGTTTCTTAGATGGATTTAAAGACTGATTTTACAACAATAATCCAAGGTATAAGGTTACACTTTCCTGCTCCTTCTTTTAAAGATTATTGATAATATTTTATCATATGTATTTTTCCGTGGCAGCATAGCAGAGGTCCTCTGTGCCCTAGCATTTAGAGATAAGAGGTGAAGGGGAAAGCAGGGGAGGGTCTTATGAGAGTTTGAAGTGTAGCTGTGTTAGAGGATGGGGAGATGTTTGCTTTGAGACGACAAAAGTGGTAGGTATATAGAGGGCCGTATAGTAGGTGTCCATCCATCCATCCAGTTTCCGCTTCATCTGTTGCCGGGTCGCGGGGGCAGCAGTCTAAGCAGAGACGGCCAGACTTCCCTATCTACACACACTTCCTCCAGCTCGTCCGGGGGGACCCCAAGGCTGGGAACGCCTTATCGTGGGATCACACTCCTCAGCCTCCCCGGTAAGGTCTACTCCAAGGTACTGGAGAGGAGGCTACAGCCGATGGTCGAATCTCGGATTCAGGAGGAGCAGTGTGGTTTTCGTCCCGGCCGGTAACACTGGACCAGCTCTAAACTCTCCATCGGATACTCGAGGGTTCATGGGAGTTTTACCCAGTCCACATGTGCTTTGTGGATTTGGAGAAGGCGTTCGTTCGTGTTCCCCGGGGTGTCCTTTGGGGGATTCTACGGGAGTACGGGGTCCGGGGTCCTCTGCTGAGGGCCATCCGTTCCCTGTATGACCGGAGCCAGAGCTGTGTTCGCATTGCCGGCAGTAAGTCAGACCTGTTCCCGGTGCATGTTGGCCTCCGCCAAGGCTGCCCTTTGTCACCGGTTCTGTTCACTGTGTTTATGGACAGAATTTGTAGGCGCAGCTGGGGGCCGGAGGGGGTCCGGTTCGGAGACCACAGGATTTCATCTCTGCTGTTTGCGGACGATGTTGTCCTGTTGGCTCCAACGAACCAGGACCTGCAGCATGCACTGGGGCGGTTTGCAGCCGAGTGTGAAGTGGCTGGGATGAGAATCAGCACCTCCAAATCCGAAGCCATGGTGCTCGACTGGAAAAAGGTGCCCTGCCCTCTCCAGGTGGGTGGAGAGGTCCTTCCTCAAGTGGAGGAGTTCAAGTATCTCAGGGTCTTGTTCACGAGTGAGGGAAGGATAAAGCGTGAGATTGACAGGCGGATCGGTGCAGCGTGCGCAGTGATGCGGTCGCTGTATTGGACCGTTGTGGTGAAGAGGGAGCTGAGCCGAAAGGCAAAGCTCTCGATTTACCGGTCAATCTTCGTTCCCTCCCTCACCTATGGTCATGAGCTGTGGGTAATGACCGAAAGAACGAGATCAAGCGGTCGAAATGATCTTCCTCCGCAGAGTGGCTGGGTGCTCCCTTAGAGATAGGGTGAGGAGCTCAGTCACACGGGAGGAGCTCGAAGTAGAGCCGCTGCTTCTCCACATCGAGAGGAACCAGTTGAGGTGGCTCGGGGATCTGTTCAGGATGCCCCCTGGACGCCTCCCTGGGGAGGTGCATGTCCCACCGGGAAGAGGCCCCGGGGAAGAACCAGGACACGCTGGAGGGACTATGTCTCTCAGCAGTATGTGTTCACGGAGGTGCGCCATAAGTTAATTTTATTATTAATCCACATGGGCGAACATGCTCGAAGCAGTTGCATAAAGTCACGGGAGCATGAAAACTCATATGTTAACAAGCACTATGTCCCCCATTGTCAGCCCTGGTTTAGCCCTGGTTTAGTCCTGGTTTAGTCCTGGTTTAGCTCCTGTTTTGGCTGTTTACAGTATGTTCAGTCTGCCCGCTCAGACCACTAATGTCCCCGTGACCACTTTGCGGCTCTGATTGGTCGCTGCACGAGCGTCCTGAGGAAACACTCAGCGATATCTATCTCCTGCGTGCGTTGATTTTCCGCTCCTACACCTCTGCCGCGCAGTTCATGGGTCCCTACCGCGCAGTCCGTGCATACATCCAGAGATGCACATACATGTCACTATTGACTTTGCATTGAAGGGGGGTTATAATAGCCTAGGCCAGAATAAACCCCGGGGTGTATTCTGGCCTAGGCTATTTTAACCTGGGGGTGTAAACTGGCCAGGGGGTTTAAAACGGCCTGTTACACCGGTGTCCACCACCGGGTTTGGGGGTTGCCGCCGGGACCAGCACCAGAGACCTTGCAACCACAGCTACGAGCTGCTGCATCGGTGATCGAGGCGGAGAACATTGTCCACTCAGACTCAATGTCCCCCTCCTACCCCGGGACCTGGGAGAAGCTCTCCCGGAGGTGTGAGTTGAAAGTCCGTCTGACAAAGGGCTCAGCGAGACGTTCCCAGCAGACCCTCACTATACGCTTGGGTCTGCCAGGTCTGACCGGCTTCCTCCCCTGCCAGCGGATCCAACTCACAACCAGGTGGTGATTGGTTGACAGCTCCGCCCTTCTCTTCACCCGAGTGTCCGAGACACGCGGTCAAAGGTCAGATGAAGATGATACGACAACAAAGTCAATCATCGACCTCCGGCCTAGGGTGTCCTGGTGCCACGTGCACTGGTGAACACCCTTGTGCTCGAACATGGTGTTGGTGATGGACAAACTGTGGCTAGCACAGAAGTCCAACAACTGAACACCACTCGGGTTCAGATCAGGGCCGTTCTTCCCGATCACCCCTCTCCAAGTGTCACTGGCATTTCCCACATGGGCGTTGAAGTCCTCCAGGAGAATAACGGAGTCCCCGGGCGGTGCACTGTCCAGTACCCCTCCCAAGGTCTCAAAGAAGGCCGAGTACCTGCTGTTAGGCCCGTAGGCCGTCACAACAGTGAGAGACTTGTCCCCCACCCGGAGGCGGAGGGACGCGACCCTCTCATTCACCGGGGGAGAACTCCAACACGTGGCGGCTGAGATGGGGGGCAATAAGTATGGCCACCCCAGCTCGCCGCCTCTCCCCACGAGAAACACCAGAAAAGTGGAGCGTCCAGCCCCTCTCAAGGAGTTGGGTTCCAAAGCCCAAGCTGTGTGTGGAGGTGAGGCCGACTATCTACAGTCTGTATCTCTCAACCTCCCCCACGAGCTCGGGCTCCTTCCCCCCCAGTGAGGTGACGTTCCACGTCCCAAGAGCCAGATGTTGTGTGTGCGGACTGGGTCGTCGAGGTCTCCGCCTTCGACTGCCGCCCAGTCCTCTCAGCACTAGACCACCATGGACTGCTCCAGGGTGGGGCCCCGGCTGCACCATGCCGGGTGACGTCACTGTTATCTTTGTAGTGCAATCCATGGTGGTTTTTGGACTGCGCTTCGTCTGACTCGTCACCTGAGACCTGTTTGCCATGGGAGACCTTACCAGGGGCATAAGCCCCAGACAAAATAGCTCCCAGGATCATCCGCGTACTGAAACTCCCCCACCTCGGTAAGGCGGCAGTCCAGGGGGGAAGTAGTCTGTGTGTTACATACTGTACAATATGTAAAGGCTGACTCTTTTCTCTTCAGGACTGGTGGACCTCCATGCCTCCGCCTCCTCTTCCTTCGTTCTTGCCGGGATCCTCAGACGCAGGTCCGGTTCCGGAGTCACTGTCACACATGCTGATGATGTGGTACATGTGCGGCTTCCACACCGGCTCCTACCTGGTGAGTATCTGAACAATTACGCTTGTGCTTGAAAGTTTTCACCCCCAGAGATTATGAATGAAACACAAACAACCACTAACTCACTGTCAGCGGTTGTGTGAAGCCATTTCTTGTCAAATTAACACGTTTTTATTTTCCAACGCTAATGCCAACAGAACTTTCTCTTTTGACCACGATTAGAAGTTGAGAGACCAGAGAGAGAGACCAGAGAGAGAGACCAGAGAGAGAGACCAGAGAGAGAGACCAGAGAGAGAGACCAGAGAGAGAGACCAGAGAGAGAGACCAGAGAGAGAGACCAGAGAGAGAGACCAGAGAGAGAGACCAGAGAGAGAGACCAGAGAGAGAGACCAGAGAGAGAGACCAGAGAGAGAAACCGGTTTCATATAAAAAAATATTTTGAATAATTATTATTTAAAGCTGGTGCATGTAACTTCTAAACCACTATTATAGAACTAACACTAGTTTTCACATGCATGTATTTATGGCCTCTATGAAATCAATAGTGAAAGAGAGGACCGCCATCACCCAAAGAGGCAAATATTGACTCACAGGGCTCTTTCTGAAGATGACATGTTTTAATGAGATGAAGACGCCCTAATCTGCGCTGATTTGTTCATTTTACTTTTATGACTTTGACAAACTAAATGCAGTAATGAAAACTATATAAAGTTAGGTACCCAAGCTTTAAGTCTATGATGTGATCTCTGTCTCTCCAGACGCTGCAGCAGCTCAAGTCCCCCCCCAGAGACTTGCACAAGACCGGACCGTTCTGATCCAGCTTCAATCTGTGACGTAGTTTGTTGATTTTGATTTGAAGTTGATTTCCTTTAACTCCTGTTGTACGGGGGATTTAGTTTCACTATTATGGAAGTGGTTCACTGTGTTCCGGGGAGAAATAAAGGCTTTTAAGAGCCGTGGACTTTTACAGCGCTTTTCATGACACCCAAAGACTCGTTACATGGCATTAGAGAGACTGAGACTCTCCAAACTCTCTCTGGTCTTGCTTTGGTCTCACTCTGATCTTGCCGGTCTCTCTCTCTCTCTCTCTCGTGTTTCTCTCTGATCTCTCTCTCTCTCTGTGCTCTCTCCGGTCTTGCTTTGGTCTCTGGTCCCTCAGCGCTCTCTCTGTTCTTACTGGTGTTTCCCTGGTGCCTCTCTTTTTGCTCTCTCTCTGGTCCCTCGGTGCGCTCTCTCTGGTCCCTTTCTGGTCCCTCTCTACTCTCTGGTCCCTCGGCGCTCTCTCTCTCTCTCTGTTCCCTTTCTGGTCCCTCTCTACTCTCTCTGGTCCCTTTCTGGTCCCTCGGCGCTCTCTCTCTGGTGTCTCTCTGGTCCCTCTCTACTCTCTCTCTCTCTTCTCTCTCTGGTCCCTTTCTGCTTTCTCTGGTCTCTCTCTGGTCCCTCTCTGGTCTCTCTCTGCTCTCTCCCTGGTCTCTCTCTGGTCTATTTGAATGCACGTCTGTGTCTCCATCCTCCCTCTCTCCCACACACACAGACACTCAGTGGTGTTTAGACTCTTCTTTACTGTACAAGATGAGAACAGAGGACACGTGCACAACATGCGATTCCCCCAAACCCCAAAAACATTCCAGATTCTAACACAAATAAATATAGATATCATGTTTGTACAGAGAAACTCGGCAATAAGCACAGCTGCAACGTCCAGTGGCAGTGAATTCCGAAAAACTGCGGAAAAACTCGGCAAGTGGAAGTCTGTACAGCGGAGACTATGTGACTCTCAAACTTTATATTTGCATAATCCCAAATTTGGAGGAGCAGACGAGAGGATTGTAAATGTTGTAACTTGTCCGTTTCAAAAGCCAGAGTCTAGTCCTAGTTTAGAGTTAGTTTCTCTGTATGCATCAACAGATATCAACTATGATCCCTCTATTTTATCCTAAAGGTGTCCAGAAGTGGTGACAACATTTAAATACACTTTGGCTTCTCTGGTCTCTCTCTGGTCTCTGCTCTCTCTCTATGGTCTCTCTGAATACAAATCTGTGTTCCTCCCTCTCTCCCAGTGGTGGGAACATAGACTGAGAACTCTGACTGCAGACGCTGCTCCCTCATCACAACACCAGTTTGAGAAAAATGCATTACAAAGTATAAAAACAAACCAGTCCAATCTGCTCCTCCAATCTCAAGAACACAAAATACTGCTCTCATGACAGATTCCAGCTGCTTTTATAACTTCACACAGCAGGGCAATAGTAAATCTGGTCCCTCTCTGGTATCTCTGGTCTTTCTCTGGTCTCTCTGGTCTCTCTCTAGTCCCTCTCTGGTCACTCTCTTGTTCCTCTCTGGTCTCTCTCTGGTCACTCCCTGGTCTCTCTCTGGTCACTCTCTTGTTCCTCTCTGGTTCTCTCTCTGGTCTCTCTCTGGCCACTCCCTGGTCACTCCCTGGTCACTCCCTGGTCCCACTATGGTCACTCCCTTGTCACTCTCTGGTCACTCCCTGGTCACTCCTGGTCACTCCTGGTCACTCCCTGGTCTCTCTCTGGTCCCACTCTGGTTACTCCCTTGTCACTCTCTGGTCACTCCCTGGTCACTCCTGGTCACTCCTGGTCACTCCCTGGTCTCTGTCTGGTCTCTCTCTGGTCCCTCTCTGGTCCCACCCTGGTCACTCCCTGGTCTCTCTCTGGTCTCTCTCTGCTCCCTCTCTGGTCCCACCCTGGTCACTCCCTGGTCTCTCTCTGGTCTCTCCCTGGTCTCTCCCTGGTCTCTCTCTGGTCCCTCTCTGATCCCTCTCTGGTCCCTCTCTGGTCACTCCCTGGTCTCTCTCTGGTCACTCCCTGGTCTCTCTCTGGTCACTCCCTGGTCTCTCTCTGGTCCCTCTCTGGTCTCTCTGGTCTCTCTCTAGTCCCTCTCTGGTCACTCTGTTGTTCCTCTCTGGTCTCTCTCTGGTCTCTCTCTGGTCTCTCTCTGGTCTCTCTCTGGTCTCTCCCTGGTCTCCTTGCTGCTTTTGTAACTTTACACAGCAGGTCAATCTTTACAAAGTTCTGAAATTAACACATGCATCATTTTGTTATCAAAAGTCTAAGTTTGATGAACTCTCGATTTAAAACAAGCTTAAAAACGTTATTTGGCAAAGACCTTTGTCTAAGGATCGCACCGTCCCCTTCTGCACATTCAGAAGTGTTTTCTCTTCACAAACCGCTCTTTTTGGAAGCCCCTGTACAAAAAGAGGTAGCGCGTGTGGTCGCTTGTATTTTGCAGGAAAGAGGGGGAAAGTTTGGGCTTCAGAAAAAAACCAACTTCTACGGTGGATATGTAACTTATGTACAAAGCGCCAGAGGTTTTTCACAGAAGGATCATGACACGAACACCACGACACCGGAGTCAGCGCAGGAGCGAGAACAGAAAGAAAACAAGTCCAGGAGATACAATCATGCAGCCGCCAAAATGCTGTGTCCACCGTTTCTCCAAGTCTATAGTCAACAAAAATATTCAAAAAACAAATTTAAGTATTTGTATTGCGTTTCTTTGTTTTTTCAGTCCAAATTTTCTTGTCTTTTTCATAATGTATAGAAGTGTCTCACTCAACTCCGGTCTCATCAAAACCAATTTTAATGTGAAAAGATTAAATGACTTAAAGCTGAGGTACGTAACTTTCATGTATTTCTGGCCTCAGTCACATCTTTAGAGACGGGGGTTTTCAGACAGGAAAGTGAAAAGGGCGACCACCCTGAGAGCCAAACAGTGATCGTGGTCTGGTAATGGCAGTCTGCTGTTTCCTCTTTCTGTTGGGACATATGAAACAAAACCAAAGTTGGGTACCAAAGCTTTAATTCAAGCTTTTATTAACATATATTTTATAATTATTTTCAGTTATTATATTATCTCAACCCAAAATGTTTGTTTTGCTTCCGTTTAGATGCGTTAAAAACACTTAAAATATGTCAGCGTTATCTATGAGGTAATTGCTCTATTTGTGTTTAAACCATGGACTGTATACAGATGGAGCTAGCTCAATGATGTCCGATAGGGAAGTGCTCATGGTGAAGTTTTGCTTTACTCGCTCCTATTGACTTATGTGGCAAAATAAGTTCCCCTAAGGCTCAGTAACTATCTGTGTCACACCATTTTGGGCTTTGTATCCTTGGTATAGACCTCTCTTTGATCCTGGTGTTTATTGTGATATTGTAAAAATCATCAGGATTGACCAATCAGATGCCTTCATTCACAGGGGAAACTCCCATCTTGTCTTAGCAACCGTCCTAGCAACACGTCTGCCCCTGTTTTGGTGCAAAACTAATGCCGTTGGAAAAAATGCCCAAATAAGGACATTGGCTCCAGCTATCTTAAGTTCACTTCAGCCTCTTCCACATTAAGGCTAACACTATGGTGATGTCACACTCTGTCAGTCCACTCCTTCTCTACACTCTATGGTTTAAACAAATAGAAAAATCAAAAGTTTGTCATTTGTGAGGCCTGAGAAAAGGTGTACTCACAATGCTCTGAACCATGTGACCTGTTCTAAACGTTTTCATAGGTTTAAAATGGAGCTAAGTCTAAAAGTCTCTATCGTGAGGGAATCTCTTATAAAACAGGGTCGTTGCCCATTTTCATCTGAAGTATTTACATCATATTAAACTATTCATTTAGAAAGTGGAAAGTACAACGTGTGCTTATATCTGTGGCAGTGCGCGTTGGGCCAGACCCGGGCCCGGTCCAGATCTCATCGCTTCTTGGTTCTCTCCAAACAATTAATTTATAAATCTCTTTGTGAGTGGCCCGGGCCAGCACAGCACGGTTCAGTCAAACACCCCCCGCTGCCCGGATGTGAGCACTGCAGACACGCATGAAGAGTCTGTAATAACACAATTTACAGAAGTGGCAAAAGTACTTGTATGAGAGGAGCTCCAGCTCGCCTTAACAACCGTCTTAGCAACCACCTTAGCAACCGTCTGCCCCTTTTCGGGCAGACAGAAGAAATACCCATGTAAGGAATTTGGCTCCAGCTAGTTTATGTTCAAATGGGCCTCTGTATTAAGGCTAACACTATGGTGATGTCACACTCGGCCGGTCCACACTGTTTTCATGTTGCCGAACGCAAAGTAACTCCGAAATGACACATATTTGTATTTAAAAGTAAATGGTTAGGTAAAATGCCTAGTTACTTGCCGCCTTCGATGTTTTGTTTCCAAACTGCTGTTGGCAAATCAACAGTGCGTCTGTCCTTTTGAGGAGAAAGCTGTTGTGACTGTAACCTGGTAAGTGTCCTTCAGGCCGTGGAATATAGAATATATAATACAATAAAATATGTAATAAATACTGTACAAGAGACTGAACCGTGCTGTACCGGGCCGACAGCTCACTGATGCTAACGCTAATGAGCTTGGTTACTGTCCACGCTCCTCTCTCTCTGTGTCCAGGCCATTACTGAGGCCTGGGGGCGTGGCAGCAGGGGGAGTGGCCGGTGGGGGCGTGGCCGGTGGGGGTGTGGTCTGGGGGATGTGGGCAGGATCAACAGCAGACTGGCTCCTCTGCGACTGGACCACGAAGTTCTTGGGGATGACTGAGGCGGGCCGCACGCCGTCGGCTCTGAGCGGTGGCCGGACGGGGGCAGGGTTAAGTGGGCTGGGGGCGGGGTTTAGTGGGCTGGGGTTGGGGTTTAGCAGGTTGGGGGCGGAGCCAGAGCAGTTTATGTCACTGTTTCCGGGCAGAGGTTTGAGTTCTGGCTCTGAGCTGCCCTCTTCTGTCGGTTGCTGTGGCGATGGTTCTGTGGGTGTGGATTCTTCGGGGTTGGGGGAGGAGCTTGAGGTCTCAGGGGCAGAGCCTGTAGACTCTGGGGGCGGGTCTTGCTGCATGCTGCTCTGGCGGGACGTCCCAGACATCTCACAGCTGTCAGTGCGACGCCTGGAGCATTCGTGCATCCGGCTGGTGGCGACTACAGCCTTCATGGCAGCCTGCGCACAGGAGAGTATTCAGAGAGGGAGAGACCAGAGAGGGAGAGACCAGAGAGGGAGAGACCAGAGAGGGAGAGACCAGCGTAAGAGAGGCCAAAGAAAGAGACCAGAGAACATTTTTGGAGCATACACGTGGAGCATGAGAAGCCTGCTGTTAAAGAAGCAACATTACTCACAAAATTGCACTAAAAATCAAGACCAGTGTTCTGCGAATTCTGCGTTGTGTGTCCTCTGACCCCCCTCTCCTAAATGCAATGACCTCTGACCCCCCCCTCTCCTAAAGGCAGTGACCTCTGACCCCGCACTCTCCTAAATGCAATGACCTCTGACCCCTCCTCTCCAAAAGGCAGTGACCTCTGACCCCCCCTCTCCTAAATGCAGTGACCTCTGACCCCTCCTCTCCTAAAGGCAGTGACCTCTGACCCCTCCTCTCCTAAAGGCAGTGACCTCTGACCCCCCCTCTCCTAAAGGCGCTAACCTCTGACCCCCCTCTCCTAAGGGCAGTGACCTCTGACCCCCCCCCCCCTTCCTAAAGGCAGTGAGGTGGTTGTACCTTGAGTTTGCGGCGGGCGTTGAACTCCTGCAGCTTCCTCTGGGTGGTGTCCATGTGGGAGAAGCGCGCCGCCTTCCCCAGCACCCAGGGGTGCAGCAGGGCCTCGCGCACACTCAGGCGCTTGTGAGGGTCCAGGACGATCAGCTTACTCACCTGAGAGGAAACCATTACTTTGTCAGAATCAGATTCGGTTTTTATTGTTTTTATGTTGCATCGTGCGTAACAGGAAGTGACAAACTAGGAATTTTCTTTGGCTCAAGGTGCAAACAAGTAAGAGTCAAAAAGTCTCGGCAACAACACTTTTTCATAGGATTTCTTCTTTTGGTTGCTTAGAAATAACAGACCAGAGAGGGAGAGACCAGAGAGGGAGAGACCAGAGAGGGAGAGACCAGAGAGGGAGAGACCAGAGAGGGAGAGACCAGAGAGGGAGAGACCAGAGAGGGAGAGACCAGAGAGGGAGAGACCAGAGAGGGAGAGACCAGAGGGGGAGAGGCCAGAGGGGGAGAGGCCAGAGGGGGAGAGGCCAGAGGGGGAGAGGCCAGAGGGGGAGAGGCCAGAGGGGGAGAGGCCAGAGGGGGAGAGGCCAGAGGGGGAGAGGCCAGAGGGGGAGAGGCCAGAGGGGGAGAGGCCAGAGGGGGAGAGGCCAGAGGGGGAGAGGCCAGAGGGGGAGAGGCCAGAGGGGGAGAGGCCAGAAAGAGCATAAATAGTGTCATAATTTTGCATAATAACGTGTGGTATTTCCTCTTAAGGGGCTTTCACACCGGACTTAACTTCGGCGTCAAAAGCGTCAGGTTTGCATTGAAAGTGAATGGTGAAGCGCATCAGGTGAAGCCAAGAGCCCCGGCGTCACTTGGCGCGCGTCAAAAGCTTCAAAAGTCGCGCGTAATACGCGCTCACTTTAAGCTTCGCGTATCACAACAATCCCTTTGACGCCGAAGTTGAGCAAAGCTGAGCTTTTGAAGCTTTGACGCGGGCTTCAACCAATCAGGAGACGAGGAGCAGCAGCAGCAGAGGGTCTGTCTCTGTCATGAAGAGAAGTCATGTATCTGCTGCTGCTGTTTTATTGTCATTATTGTTATTAGTAATATTATTTGTATGAGTAGTAACGTTCTGAGTAACCAAATCATTGTACACATGCTGTGTAGTAAACGTAGTTTATTTAATAAAAGAACAGGCTGACGATGAGTCTGGCTCAGAGCAAGGCAGCTCCGGGCGAGCGAGAGGCAGGGAGAGGCGAGAGCCGGGGAGAGGCGAGCTCCGGGGTTTGAGAACTCAGACTGGGCGACTGACATGTGGAAGTACCGCTGAAAGCGAAACTCCTCCGTACGCAGCTCCTGGAGTAAATGACGGAACTCTGCAAACACTGCAGCCTCTCAAGTCTGCGGTGAACCCAGAACATGTTTTGTTGAAGCCCTACAACAACGTTATTTGGCTTTATATAACAAATAAAGGCTCGCTGCTCATTGAAAAATCCACCGCTGTCCTGACTACAGACAACAGAGAAGCTCCTCCCACAGACAACAGAGAAGCTCCTCCCACCGGCGTCAGGCGCGTCACTCGCGTCAAAAGCTTCAAGCACCAAAATGACAAAACTATCCCGGCGTCAGTTGAAGCGCGTCAAAAGCTTTTTTAAGCTTTTGGTCTGAACGCGCCTTTAGACTGTGTGTGTGTGTTCCCCGTTGCGTTGCACTGACCAGGTCTTTGGCGTTGAGCGACACCTCGTCCCACCACGGCGACACAAACTCGTAGTCACAGTTGAGGATGCGGCTGTACATGTACTGGTCGCCCCGCGGGTCGAAGAAGGGCTCGAACCCACACAGGCTGCAACACAACACAGTCCAGTCACCAGGAGGGTCAGGGTTCTCTCCCTGTGGGCCTCCCCCGGTTTCTCACTTTTCCCCTTATTTTTTTGTCAATGCAGAGAGTCTAAAGCCCAACGCACACCGAAACGCCTTGACGCGCGGCAAAAGAGCCGCCTCCTTTATTTTCTATGAGAGAACGCACACCAAGGTTGCAGTGACGCGCGGCGACGCTGGACCGGGCGCCACGATTCAGTTTTGTTGAATCCAGACGCGGCGCCGCGGCTGAAACTGTCCCTCCAAGCACCCGTAGTTTTCTTCTTCTGCGCTTCTTATCACGTAGCTGTGAGCGCGGTCTCAAATTTACACACTTGTCGGCGCTATTGCTCAAGTAAACCGGTCACAATGGACGAGGAAAGCTTGATAACCCAAGTACAGCGTTACCCAGAGCTAGTTATTAGCCTGTTTAAAAAATGGGTCCAAATAGTCTTTTCTTGTAATATTTGCCAGCATAATTTCACGTAAATACTTTGTTTCCTCCCCCAAAATATTAGTAGAAACTTCCAAACGTCACTCACCCATTTCATCTGCGATCAGCTGGAAAAGGACGCTAGCCAAGGCGTTCCGGTGTAATTTGACACATGTCATGAACGCGCGTCAAATGACGCGCCGCGAGGCGCTGCGTTTCGGTGTGCGGTGAGCTTAAGAGGACATTTATGAACCTTCATGGACAGCCATTCCGCTCCCTGTGGACAACTGGTTCCTACAGTGGGTTTGTTCGTCAGAAAGAGTTTTGTAAAAGTAAATTGCAGTGAGCAAATCAGACCACAACATGTCTTCATCGTGTTAGAAAAAAAGTTATCTGTAAGTCAGTATTTGATGCTTTGGGCTGAGTGCGCATTGGCTGCTCACTCGTCTACCTGTCTGGTCTCTATCTCTGGTTTCTCTCTTTGGTCTTTTTTCAATGGTCTCTCTCTTACTGGTCTCACTCTAGTCTCTCTCTGGTCTCTCTTACTGGTCTCTCTCTGGTTTCTCTCTGGTCTCCCTCTCTAGTCTCTCTCTGGTCTCTCTGGTCTCTCTCTGGTTTCTCTCGGGTCTCCCTCTCTAGTCTCTCTCTGGTCTCTCTCTGGTTTCTCTCTGGTCTCCCTCTCTAGTCTCTCTCTGGTCTCTCTAGGATCTCTCTCTGGTCTCTTTCTGGTTTCTCTCTGGTCTCTCTCACTGGTCTCCCTCTCTAATCTCTCTCTCTGGTCTCACTCTGGTCTCTCTTTCTGGCGCTAAAAACTAGTGATAGAAAGAACAAGTGACATACATTTCATTAGAGTTCTACTGTTGTGTTCTGAAAGTTACACACCCCAGCTTTAACCCTGCTCTGACTGAGTGTATTGTACGGGGAGGTGGACTCACAGGATGTAGAGGATGACTCCCACGGACCACATGTCCACCTCAGGCCCATAGGCGTTCCCCCGCAAGATCTCTGGAGCTGTGAGGAGACAGATGGACCGAGTCATGACAGATCTGAGAAACACCGTCTGTCACCGGGAAAGCACCAGGCCAGGCCGACAAAACCATAGAGCGAATACCAGGAGGGGACTGACCGAGTGTGACGTCACCATCAGTTCAGTTCAGAAACATTTGATGCAACAACAAAAAGACAATGTTCAAGTGCCATAAAGAGCTCAAAAGGCATTGTCCATCTACAGTAAAAGACAAAAGTTTGGACACCCTCTCTCCTTTAGTGAGTTTATTTTCAGGCCTATTGCTGTAGATCCACACCAGGCTGTGGAAGGGCTGTTTGACCAATAAGGAGAGTGATGGTGCTGGGCCACTTGACCTCCACAGACACCGGACCTGAACCCAGTCCAGATGGTTTTGGGGCTGGACCGCAGAGTGAAGGGGCCAACAAGTGGGAACTCCTTCAAGACTGTATGAAGACCATTTCAGGTCCTCTGGAAGCTCACCCAGAGAATGCCAAGAGTGAAGCAGTATCAGAGCAAAAGGTGCTACTTTGAAGAACCAAGAACATAAGACATATTTTCATACTTTTTTGTTGTTGAGTTCATTCATAATGTTGATGTCTTCAGTGTCAATCTACAATTTTCATAATCATAAAAATAAACTCTTTGAATGAGAAGGTGTGTCCAAACATTTGGTCTGTACTGTATATACAGTTTATGTTAGCATTGCCCATCTGTATACAGTCTGTGTTAGCATCGTCCATCTGTATACAGTCTATGTTAGCATCGTCCATCTGTATACAGTCTGTGTTAGCATTGTCCATCTGTATACAGTCTGTGTTAGCATCGTCCATCTGTATACAGTCTATGTTAGCATTGTCCATCTGTATACAGTCTGTGTTAGCATTGCCCATCTGTATACAGTCTGTGTTAGCATTGTCCATCTGTATACAGTCTGTGTTAGCATCGTCCATCTGTATACAGTCTATGTTAGCATTGTCCATCTGTATACAGTCTATGTTAGCATTGTCCATCTGTATACAGTCTGTTAGCATTGTCCATCTGTATACAGTCTGTGTTAGCATCGTCCATCTGTATACAGTCTGTGTTAGCATTGTCCATCTGTATACAGTCTGTTAGCATTGTCCATCTGTATACAGTCTGTGTTAGCATCGTCCATCTGTATACAGTCTGTGTTAGCATTGTCCATCTGTATACAGCCTGTGTTAGCATCGTCCATCTGTATACAGCCTGTGTTAGCATTGTCCATCTGTATACAGTCTGTTAGCATTGTCCATCTGTATACAGCCTGTGTTAGCATTGTCCATCTGTATACAGCCTGTGTTAGCATTGTCCATCTGTATACAGCCCGTGTTAGCATTGTCTATCTGTATACAGTCTGTGTTAGCATTGTCCATCTGTATACAGTCTGTGTTAGCATCGTCCATCTGTATACAGCCTGTGTTAGCATTGTCCATCTGTATACAGCCTGTGTTAGCATTGTCCATCTGTATACAGCCTGTGTTAGCATTGTCCATCTGTATACAGCCCGTGTTAGCATTGTCTATCTGTATACAGTCTGTGTTAGCATTATCTACATGCAGTCTATGTATGAACCATCTCTGATCTTAGTATAAACTGGTTGTTGGCTCTCGCTCCATAACGTCTGCTTTAAAACGTGATTAAATAAAACCCATTATTCGGATTCTTCTGTTCTCGACTTAATGCTCAGCTCTGAATCCCACTTCTCAAATCTGTCCCGAAGCTCAGGACTCTGGGATCTGCTCCGAGGTTATAAATACACCGCAGATCACATCAAGCAGAGAAAGTCCTGGACCCAGATTTCACAAAGAGGAGAGTTTTAAAATGGTGTCGCGATCAGAGAGTTTTTAATGAGTCTCCGGAGGCGTGACTCACACGTCTCTTCTCACGTATGTGGAGCAGGCGCCTGTCGCTGGTTCAACATATAAATAACCACCAGGTCTGGAGCTGGTGAAACTTAAAAATGTATCCCCCATTTTTTAGCCAAATCAAAGAAGAGAGGCTGTTACCACTTATACATGGAATACATCGGAGGCCAGAACTACTGAGCGCCACAAAGAGTCGGGCATTTTGTTTATGCTCCAAAGATTTCACGAGAAAAAGGATCGTCTTAGGGCCATCCTTAGACTGTAAGTGGACAATGCTAACATAGACTGTAAACAGATGGGCGATGCTAACTACTAGCTCAATGAAGCTAATAGGGAAGTGCTCATGGTGAAGTTTTGCTCGAACTTGCTCTGACTCCTATTGACTTACATTGAAAAGTCAACTTCTCTTGCTCAGTAGCTGTTTGTGTCACACTTATCATTTTGGGCTTCAATAATCCAGGGTTTAGTGCTCTCTGTGATCCTGGTGGTTTTTAGAGAGAGACCAGAGAGAGAGACCAGAGAGAGAGACCAGAAAGAGAGAGACCAGAGAGAGTGAGACCAGAGAGAGTGAGACCAGAGAGAGAGCGATCAAAGCGAGAGAGACCAGAGAGAGAGAGACCAGATAGAGAGAGATCAGAGAGAGAGACCAGAAAGAGAGATCAGAGACAGTGAGACCAGAAAGAGACAGACCAGAGAGAGAGACCATAAAGTATGTCTATGTTGGCCGGATAACACGGTCAGATTGGACAGGTCCTGTGGTCCAGAGGCCGGTCTGAGGTCTGGACTCACCGCAGTATCCAGGGGTCCCGCACACCGTCTTCATGGTCACCTGGTCGTCGATGATTTTGGACAGACCGAAGTCGGCTGAAAAACATGAGCATCAGAGTTCACTCAGAAATACTGTTGGGTTGTTTTGTGAGTTCTTGGGTTAAACCAGTGGAGGAGGAGAGAATGTGTTTTGTTACCGATCTTGAGCGGAGCGTCCAGCGACAGGTCGGCGTACAGCAGGTTTTCTGGTTTGAGGTCCCGGTGCACAACGCCGTTCTCATGGAGGTACTGCAGAAACACGACAGAGACTCAAACAAACAGAAACACTGCAAAACAAGTTATAAAAAGATGTGGGACCAGCTAAAATTTCTTTTTAAAGCTGAGGTATGTAACTTTCAATCCATAACAATAGAACAATAATAAAATCCATGTCCCTGGTTTCAGGCTCGAAGACTGTTTTTCTTCTATCACTATTTTTCACACGCTTTTTGGACCAGGTCAACCAGGAGGAGACCAGAGAGAGACCAGAGGGAGACCCGAGAGAGACCAGAGGGAGACCAGAGGGAGACCCAAGAGAGACCAGAGGGAGACCCGAGAGAGACCAGAGGGAGACCAGAGGGAGACCCGAGAGAGACCAGAGGGAGACCCGAGAGAGACTAGAGGGAGACCCGAGAGAGACCAGAGGGAGACCCGAGAGAGACCAGAGGGAGACCCAAGAGAGACCAGAGGGAGACCCGAGAGAGACCAGAGGGAGACCAGAGGGAGACCCGAGAGAGACCAGAGGGAGACCCGAGAGAGACTAGAGGGAGACCCGAGAGAGACTAGAGGGAGACCCGAGAGAGACCAGAGGGAGACCCGAGAGAGACCAGAGGGAGACCCGAGAGAGACCAGAGGGAGATCAGAGGGAGACCCGAGAGAGACCAGAGAGAGACCAGAAGGAGACCAGAGAGAGACCAGAAGGAGACCCGAGAGAGACCAGAGGGAGACCAGAAGGAGACCCGAGAGAGACCAGAGGGATACCCGAGAGAGACCAGAGAGAGACCAGAAGGAGACCAGAGAGAGACCAGAGGGAGACCCGAGAGAGACCAGAGGGAGACCAGAGGGAGACCCGAGAGAGACCAGAGGGAGACCAGAGGGAGACCCGAGAGAGACCAGAGAGAGACCAGAGGGAGACCAGAGGGAGACCAGAGAGAGACCAGAGGGATAACAGAGGGAGACCAAAGAGAGACCAGAGAGAGACCAGAGGGAGACCAGAGGGAGACCCGAGAGAGACCAGAGGGAGACCAGAAGGAGACCAGAGAGAGACCAGAGGGAGACCCGAGAGAGACCAGAGGGAGACCAGAGGGAGACCCGAGAGAGACCAGAGGGAGACCCGAGAGAGACCAGAGAGAGACCAGAGGGAGACCAGAGAGAGACCAGAGAGAGACCAGAGAGAGACCAGAGGGAGACCCGAGAGAGACCAGAGGGAGACCCGAGAGAGACCAGAAGGAGACCCGAGAGAGACCAGAAGGAGACCCGAGAGAGACCAGAAGGAGACCACAGAGAGACTAGAGGGAGACCAGAGAGAGACCAGAGGGAGACCACAGAGAGACCACAGAGCCTTCCAATCCGCTCTCAGCCAAAAGCGTCAAATAGTGACTCACAGGGTTCTATCATTGTTATTAATGGCGGCACAATGGTGCAGTGGTTAGCACTTGTGCTTCACAGCGAGAAGGTCCTTGGTTCGATTCCACATTCCTAAAGACACATGCCTCAGCTTTTAACACCAACTGAGTTCTACTGTTTTACATTTTACATATGTGTGGATTCTATGCAGTCTAAGCAGAGTCTGGGCGTCTCTGCTTAGACTGCGGCCCCCGCGACCCGGCAACGGATGAAGCGGAAGAAAATGGATGGATGGTGTATTCAATGCGCTTTTCTTTTGTGCCTGTGAAGCACTTAGGGCCGCTAAATGTGCTATACATATAAAGCTGACATTGACATTTCACGATACTCTTTCTATCGCTGTGTTATTTATGAAACGGAAAAGTTAGGTACCCGAGCTTTAGACCTGATGGGGTCAGTGTGGAGGCTTGGCCCGCTCCCAGCTGCACTGTGTGTCTCTCTGCTGATGTTTATTGCTGAGATTATGCTCCTCACGCCGCGAACACAAACTGAGGCGTAATCTGAGCGTCCCGCAGCGAGCGCCGAGCGCAGCGGCTGACCTACATCAGCGGCAGGAAAACATACGCCCCGTGTGCTTCTGATAATCCCCCGTAATCTGCATTTATGTAAGAGCCGCGAACCATCCTCATACTGCTGCGTCCACTGCTGCTGTGTCCACTGCTGCTGTGTCCACTGCTGCTGCTGTGTCCACTGCTACTGCTGTGTCCACAGCTGTAACCACTGCTGCTGCGTCCACTGCTGCTGTGTCCACTGCTGCTGCTGTGTCCACTGCTACTGCTGTGTCCACAGCTGTAACCACTGCTGCTGCGTCCACTACTGCTGCTGTGTCCACTGCTGCTGTGTCCACTGCTGCTGCTGTGTCCACTGCTGCTGTGTCCACTGCTGCTGTGTCCACTGCTGCTGTGTCCACTGCTGCTGCTGTGTCCACTGCTGCTGTGTCCACTGCTGCTGTGTCCACTGCTACTGCTGTGTCCACAGTTGTAACCACTGCTGCTGCGTCCACTACTGCTGCTGTGTTCACTGCTGCTGTGTCCACTGCTGCTGCTGTGTCCACTGCTGCTGTGTCCACTGTTGCTGCTGTGTCCACTGCTGCTGCTGTGTCCACTGCTGCTGTGTCCACTGCTACTGCTGTGTCCACAGCTGTAACCACTGCTGCTGCGTCCACTACTGCTGCTGTGTCCACTGCTGCTGTGTCCACTGCTGCTGTGTCCACTGCTGCTGTGTCCACTGCTGCTGCGTCCACTACTGCTGCTGTGTCCACTGCTGCTGCTGTGTCCACTGCTGCTGTGTCCACTGCTGCTGTGTCCACTGTTGCTGCTGTGTCCACTGCTGCTGTGTCCACTGCTGCTGTGTCCACTGCTGCTGCTGTGTCCACTGCTGCTGTGTCCACTACTGCTGCTGTGTCCACTGCTGATTCACCAGAGACTGTAGCCACGGCAACAGGACTCACGCCTCCATATGCAGACCCCATGTTCCTTATGTTTGTAAATGTGGATTAAAAAGTGTTGTTTCCAAAGCTGTTCATGATGTGGGACGGACCGTGAAGGGTGGGGGTGGAAACATGATGGTTTGGGGCTGCTTTTCTGTAGAGGGGGCAGGACGACTGATCCGTACTAAGGAAAAGGATGATTGGGAAAATATATACTGTGGCTGAGTGGTTAGCTCTCTCGCTTCTCAGCAAGAAGGTTCTGGGTTTGGAGCTGGGACTTTGTGTTTGCATGTTCTCTTACCGCCACAGCCTCCAGGATTTGCTTGATGACGTGAGCTGCATCTTGTTCGCTGTAGTAACCGCGCTCAACAATCCTGCAACACACATTACACACACGTTACACACACACATGTTACACACACATTACACACACATGTTACACACACATTACACACACGTTACACACATGTTACAGACATATTACACACATGTTACACACACATTACACACATATTACACACATGTTACACACACATGTTACACACACATTACACACACGTTACACACACATTACACACATTACACACGTTACACACATGTTACACACACATTACACACATGTTACACATTACACACGTTACACACACATTACACACATGTTACACACACATTACACACACGTTACACACATTACACACACGCTACACACACATTACATACATGTTACACACACGTTACACACACATTACACACGTTACACACATTACACACATGTTACACACACATTACACACATGTTACACACACATTACACACATATTACACACATGTTACACACACGTTACACACATGTTACACACACATTACACACACGTTACACACACATTACACACGTTACACACACATTACACACGTTACACACACATTACACACATGTTACACACACATTACACACATATTACACACATGTTACACACACGTTACACACATGTTACACACACATTACACACACGTTACACACACATTACACACGTTACACACACATTACACACGTTACACACACATTACACACATGTTACACACACATTACACACATGTTACACACACATTACACACGTTACACACACATTACACACCTTACACACACATTACACACATGTTACACACACATTACACACACGTTACACACATTACACACACGCTACACACACATTACATACATGTTACACACACGTTACACACACATTACACACATTACACACATGTTACACACACATTACACACATGTTACACACACATTACACACATGTTACACACATGTTACACACACGTTACACACACATTACACACACGTTACACATTCAGACTTATTGTACATGCTTTTAGTGGTAAGCAAAACCGGAGCACCCGGAGGAAACCTACATAGATAGAGCAAAAGCACTATCTTTTTTCACTTTTCCTGTGGGATGGGCCACTCGCGTGAATTCGTGTAAATGAGTCCTCATCATCGGAGGCCAAAACTACAGAGCTCCAGCCTCACATAGAGCTGCTGGTCTGAACTTTCAAGTTTCCTAAAACAGGTTGTGTGAGTTTTCGCGTCTCACGGCGTCAGCAGCAGAGACACAACTCATAGATCAGCATGTTCCAGAGAGCGATAGTTTCAGGCAGCTAAACATGTTTCCTGGTTACTATGGTAACTACGGTGACTGTCAAAAGTCGGATTTAGAAGAACACATCAACTCTACTCTCATTATTTTCTTAAGTGGTCTTTCTAGTCTCTCTCTGGTCCCTTTTTTATTGTCTCTCTCTGGTCTCTTTCTCTCTCTCTAGTCTCTCATCTCTCACTGCTCTCTTTCTCTAGTCTCTTTTTGGTCTCTAGTCTCTCTCTGGTCTCTCTCTGGTCTCTGTTTGGTCTCTTTCTGTTCTCTCTCTACCACCTCTCAGACTGCAGGGGGCTCGGGGCAGGTGTGGCCTCAGACTGGGCTCGGGGCAGGTGTGGCCTCAGACTGGGCTCGGGGCAGGTGTGGCCTCAGACTGGGCTTGGGGCAGGTGTGGCCTCAGACTGGGCTCGGGGCAGGTGTGGCCTCAGACTGGGCTTGGGGCAGGTGTGGCCTCAGACTGGGCTCGGGGCAGGTGTAGCCTCAGACTGGGCTTGGGGCAGGTGTGGCCTCAGACTGGGCTTGGGGCAGGTGTGGCCTCAGACTCACCGGTCGAACAGCTCTCCTCCCGTCACCAGCTCCAGCACCAGAGCGATGTCTGTGTCGGTCTCAAAGATCTCCTTCAGCTCGATCTGCAGCAAACACAACGTCATGTGACTAAAAACACCGGAATGTTCTCCACGTCGGGACATCGTCACTTTGTCGGAGAGCGGGACTCGTTTAAGCGAGTTACACTTTAAATGTGTTTATTTTCTGTTAAGTCAACTGCAATTATAACTATTTAATAGTTTTGTGTTTGTGTTTGAGTTCAGTTTGTTTATGTGCTCCTCCCTCCAGTCTTTCTCTAGTCTCTCTCTGGTCTCTCTTTTTTTCTTTCTGGTCTCTGGTCTCTCTCTGGTCTCTCTCTGGTCTCTCTCTGGTCTCTCTCTCTGTCTCTCTCTGGTCTCTCTCTGTCTCTCTCTGGTCTCTCTCTGTCTCTCTCTGGTCTCTCTCTGTCTCTCTCTGTCTCTCTCTGTCTCTCTCTGGTCTCTCTCTGGTCTCTCTCTGTCTCTCTCTGGTCTCTCTCTGGTCTCTCTCTGGTCTCTCTCTGTCTCTCTCTGTCTCTCTCTGGTCTCTCTCTCTGGTCTCTCTCTCTGGTCTCTCTCTGGTCTCTCTCTGGTCTCTCTCTGTCTCTCTCTGGTCTCTCTGGTCTCTCTCTGGTCTCTCTCTGGTCTCTCTCTGGTCTCTCTCTGGTCTCTCTCTGTCTCTCTCTGTCTCTCTCTGGTCTCTCTGTCTCTCTCTGGTCTCTCTCTGTCTCTCTCTGGTCTCTCTGTCTCTCTCTAGTCTCTCTCTGGTCTCTCTCTGTCTCTCTGTGTCTCTCTCTGGTCTCTCTCTCTGGTCTCTCTCTGGTCTCTCTCTGTCTCTCTCTGTCTCTCTCTGGTCTCTCTCTGGTCTCTCTCTGGTCTCTCTCTGTCTCTCTCTGGTCTCTCTCTCTGGTCTCTCTCTGGTCTCTCTCTGTCTCTCTCTGTCTCTCTCTGTCTCTCTCTGGTCTCTCTCTCTGGTCTCTCTCTGTCTCTCTGATCTCTCTCTGGTCTCTCTCTCTGGTCTCTCTCTGTCTCTCTCTGTCTCTCTCTGGTCTCTCTCTGGTCTCTCTGGTCTCTCTCTGTCTCTCTCTGGTCTCTCTCTCTGGTCTCTCTCTGGTCTCTCTCTGTCTCTCTCTGTCTCTCTCTGGTCTCTCTCTCTGGTCTCTCTCTGTCTCTCTGATCTCTCTCTGGTACTCTCTCAGTAGTTGTTGTGTTGTTCTTCTTTACTCACGATGTTGGGATGAGAGAGACGCAGCAGGACGCCGATCTCAGTTCGAACAATTTTCTTATCGATCTGAAAACAAACACAAAGAGAAAGTTTCAAAACCACAGAAATGACTCGACTGGACCTCGGTTCATAAAGACCCCTTCAGGAATACTGCTGTATGTTTCAGAAGGGGATCTATACTTAAGGGTATATACAGGAGGAGGATGTTCTACGTCTGGGTGGATCATCAAGACTATTGGTCCTCACAACTGTCAATCATTCTGGTGGTATGTGTTTGTCCTATAAGACCAGAGAGTTTTGTTTAAAAAGTGGAGAGGGCGGTTCTTTCCAAAAATTATTAATCCTTACTGTGATTGGTCGGGTCTGTCTTCTCTCAACTTTACTTCTAAGCCAAACTATCGGCAAACAGGAAGTAGCAATCTCAAGAGCAAACACAAAAACATTTGAAATATTCCTCTTCTAACTTATCAAATACTGATCTAAAAACCAGAAAGCATATATGAAAATGTACACAAATTCGTCCACCCTTGCTTTAGTGTCTGGTACCGTATCCTAGCAACCTCCCCACAAAAAAACAGTATTCTGTGAAATTCCTTGGTATCCATGGCTTCCAGCAGCACTCAGGCCAATCTCTGTTAGTTAGAACACTTTAGTACCAGCTCGGTCTGGATAGAACCAGGACCAAGAGGGACTAAAGAAGGACCTGGGACTGATTACACAGGACCAGAGGAAACACAACCAATCAGGGTAGAGTAGGTTAGAATAGAGTAGAGTAGAGTAGAGTAGAGTAGAGTAGGGTAGAGTAGAGTAGAGTAGAGTAGAGTAGAGTTGAGAAGAGTAGGGTAGGGTAGGGTAGGGTAGGGTAGAGTAGAGTAGAGCGTCTGTAGTCAAACGTACCGTCTTCTTGAGCACTTTGACAGCGTAGGGTTTCTGGGTCTGCTTCTCTTCACAGCGATACACCACAGACGTCGCTCCTCTGCAGAACACAGGCTCTGAGTCACTACAGACAGGTATGAGCTGAGAGCTGATTGGCTGGCTCTCTCTGGTCTCTCTCTGGTTCCTCTCTGGTCCCTCTCTGGTCTCTCTGTGGTGTCTCTGGTCTTTCTGGTCCCTTCCAGTCCCTCTAGTCTCTCTCTGGTCTCTTACTGCTTACTGGTCCCTCTCTTTCTGACCTCTCTCTGATCTCCATTTGGTCTCTCTCTCTGGTCTCACTCTGGTCTCTCTCTGATCTCTCTTTCTCTCTCTAGTCTCACTCTATTCTCTCTCTGGTCTCTCTCTGGGCTCTCTCTGATCTCTCTCTGGCCTCTCTCCGGTCTCTAGTCTCTCTACGGTCTTTCTGGTCTCTCTGATATCTCTCTCTAGTCTCTCTTTTTGGTCTCTCTCTGGTCTCTCTCCAGTCCCTCTCTCTAGTCTTTGTCTCTCTGGTCTTGCTCTAGTCTCTCTCTCTCTCTTTGGTCTCTCTCTGGTCTCTCTCTTTTTCACTTTTCTGTCTGAAAAACCTGATCTACAGATGTGACAGAGGACAAAAAGACACAAAAACTAGAGATAAAAACAGTTTTAGATCCAGGAACAAGACACAGGGATGTTATGACACAGTCTGAAAGTTACATACCCCAGCTTTAATCTCAGCCTTTCACAAACACTGCCTCTGTCTATTTTCTGCCTTTCTTTTATCTTCAATGTGACTTCAGAACTCGCTCGAAGTGAAAGTGGAGCTGGTCTTATGTAACACTTTCCCATTCCAAAGATGAAATGTTGGGTTTTTGGGGGCATCGCCATGGCAACGGCCCATCGGTATGAAATCCGTGGATACCAAAGCAGCGGTGCCCTAAAAAACAACGTGGTCCCAGCAGAACTTTTCTCCTCTCTCGGTTCCTTTTATGTGGATCTGGAGGAGAAAGTGAGAGAGCGGGTCCCACGTGAACACAGAGAAGCCACGAAAAAAAGAATAAATAAATGGGAGACTATTTTGAAATGTCTTTTTGGGGCTGACTGTGCACAGATGGACAATGCTAACCCGCCCGCTCAATGAAGCCCAATAGGGAAGTGCTCATGGACGAGGTTTTGCTCCGAATGACTTACATTGAAAAGTGACGTTTTTGTCTTTTTGCGCGCTCTGATGTTATCTTTGTAAATCCAGAAAGGAGCCATGTAAGGATTGACCAATCAGAGGCCTTCATTTGTGAGGAAACTCTAGCTTGTCTTAGCAACACGTCTGTTACGGCACAAAGCTAACCCCACAGAGGAAATGCCCATATAAGGAAACCGGCTCCAGCTATCTTATGTTAAAATCGGCTTCTTGCTCATTAAGGCTAACTCTGTGGTGATGTCACACTCCTGCAGCACGCTCAGTGTTTGGGACCAGGGTTTGGGACCAGTCCAAGTCGGTCTGAGGAACTACAATCGCTTTACTTTAGAAGTCTTGTTTTGCTGAGACATTAAAAACAAATGAATTTCAAAAGATAAAAAGTTGATGACGAAAGTCCCACAGAATCTTGAGACAGGTCTAAACCAGGACCAGTTTGAGACAGGTCTAGACCAGGACCAGTTTGAGATAGGTCTAAACCAGGACCAGTTTGAGACAGGTATAGACCAGGACCAGTTTGAGATAGGTCTAAACCAGGACCAGTTTGAGACAGTTCTAAACCAGGACCAGTTTGAGACAGGTCTAAACCAGGACCAGTTTGAGACAGGTCTAAACCAGGACCAGTTTGAGACAGGTCTAAACCAGGACCAGTTTGAGACAGGTCTAAACCAGGACCAGTTTGAGACAGGTCTAGACCAGGACCAGTTTGAGACAGGTCTAGACCAGGACCAGTTTGAGACAGGTCTAAACCAGGACCAGTTTGAGACTGGTCTAAACCAGGACCAGTTTGAGACAGGTCTAACCCAGGACCAGTTTGAGACAGGTTTGAACCAGGACCAGTCTGACCCTGTGGTACCTGCCCAGCTCGGCTCCCAGGGCGTACACCTCCTCCACGGTCCCGTCCCGTCGGGAGCCATCGACCCAGTACTCCTCCACGGGCTCCGACCCGGGCTGCGAGGTCGGCATGGCAACAACGGGGGGTGGGTAATCCGGGACAGTTCCTCCGATTTAAACCCAGATTACAGCAGACCTGGACCCGGAGGGACGAGCATGAAGAGGAGGAAGAGGAAGATGAGGAAGATGAGGGGTCTCAGTCGACTTCAGCAACAACTGCGAACAGAAACAACAGAACCAGTTTAGAGGATTCATCTCCAACTCTCTCATAGTGCACTGAGACCGAGAGGAGACGGAGAGGAGACCGAGAGGAGGCCGAGAGGAGACCAAGAGGAGACCGAGAGGCGGCCGAGAGGAGACCAAGAGGAGACCGAGAGGCGACCGAGAGGAGACGGAGAGGAGACGAAGAGGAGACGGAGAGGAGACGAAGAGGAGACCGAGAGGAGACCGAGAGGAGACGGAGAGGAGACGGAGAGGAGACGAAGAGGAGACGGAGAGGAGACGGAGAGGAGACGGAGAGGAGACGGAGAGGAGACGGAGAGGAGACGAAGAGGAGACCGAGAGGAGACCGAGAGGAGACGGAGAGGAGACGGAGAGGAGACGAAGAGGAGACGGAGAGGAGACGGAGAGGAGACGGAGAGGAGACGGAGAGGAGACGAAGAGGAGACGGAGAGGAGACGGAGAGGAGACGAAGAGGAGACGGAGAGGAGACGGAGAGGAGACGGAGAGGAGACGGAGAGGAGACGGAGAGGAGACGAAGAGGAGACCGAGAGGAGACGGAGAGGAGACGGAGAGGAGACGGAGAGGAGACGAAGAGGAGACGGAGAGGAGACGGAGAGGAGACGGAGAGGAGACGGAGAGGAGACGAAGAGGAGACGGAGAGGAGACGGAGAGGAGACGGAGAGGAGACGGAGAGGAGAGACGGGAGGAGACGAAGAGGAGACCGAGAGGAGACCGAGAGGAGACGAAGAGGAGACGGAGAGGAGACGAAGAGGAGACGGAGAGGAGACCAAGAGGCGACCGAGAGGAGACGGAGAGGAGACGGAGAGGAGACGAAGAGGAGACCGAGAGGAGACCGAGAGGCGACCGAGAGGAGACCAAGAGGAGACCGAGAGGAGACAGAGAGGAGACCGAGAGGAGACGGAGAGGAGACGAAGAGGAGACGGAGAGGAGACCGAGAGGAGACCAGGGAGAGACCCAGGCCCTCTGAGTCTCTCAGGACTCCCCCAGATGAGCAGGACACAGTAGATTAAAGTCGCTGCTCCTGAGTTGGACTTTTGTGTGTTTTAAAAACCCTGGAAACATCTCACTACATTCAGTTATTTATTTTAAAAAACATATATTATTTTAATCCATCCATTTTCTTCCCCTTAATCCATTTCTGGGTCGGGGGTGGCAGTCAGAGCTGCACCCAGTTCACAGAGCATCAGCCATATTATTTTCAGTTCGATTCAATGAAGTTTTGTCTAACAGTCTGTATCTCAGACTTTACAAAGTTATTGATTCCCCAACACAGATCAGAAAATCAAACCGTTCAAACTCAGGAAATGCAACGATAAAAAACACATGAGGAGCAGAAACCGATGTAAATGTCCACGTTCAGCGGCCGCTGGTCCACGGTCTGTAGCTGAGGTCCTGGATCTACAGCCTGTCCGTCCGGAGGAGCGGATCCCTTTCTCAGTGTGGGTCTCCCCGAGGTTTCTCACTTTTTTCCCACTGGGTTTTTCTTATGAGTTGTTCCTCTGATGCAGGAGTCTGTTGGACAGTTAGTGTCCAACTAGAAGGACTGTGATGATCCAGGACACTTTAACATTCTACATGTATGACATTTATCAACATGTGTTCTATATTCTTTCTGTGTTTTAACTGTTGATTCTCTGATCTGTGATTTCAATGGTTTTGTTCAGTCTCTGAGATGATACTGATGTGATTTAGGGCTGTACAAGAGCAAATTGTATTGTATTGTAATTGTATTTTCTCTTGTCTCTCTCTGGTCTCTCTCTGATCTCTCTCTGGTCTCTCTCTGGTCTCTCTCTGGTCTCTCTCTGGTCTCTCTCTGGTCTCTCTGGTCTCTCTGGTCTCTCTCTGGTCTCTCTGGTCTCTCTCTGGTCTCTCTGGTCTCTCTCTGGTCTCTCTCTGGTCTCTCTCTGGTCTCTCTGGTCTCTCTCTGGTCTCTCTCTGGTCTCTCTCTGGTCTCTCTCTGGTCTCTCTCTGATCTCTCTGGTCTCTCTCTGGTCTCTCTCTGAATTGTCTCTTGTCTCTCTGGTCTCTCTCTGAATTGTCTCTTGTCTCTCTGGCCTATATTATTAATATCCAACCTTAAACAGCTAAAACGTTTAAAACATTATATTTACGGAAAAAAATCTAATTGAAACCCCACAGGTGACAAACACTGAACCCACAATGCATCCTTCCTTCCTTAAATCCTTGCACATATGTAGTTAGTTATTATGACACATGTGTAAAGTACAAACCAATAGGACGGGCTTTCTCGGCTTTATATCTGAACAAACAGACAGGTTTACAGCTGAGAATATTGGTCTGTCACGCTGCAAATCATGTCAATAAACGGGATGGAGCCGCGGAGGTCTTTGGATCCATTTTTCACAGCTTGGCAATCACTCCATGTTTTTACAAATCTCTGCAAAATCAAAACCAAGCCACATCTACAGCTTGAAAGTCTGTTGTTTTGCCATTTCAACCATCAACCAGCGCTGCTTCTGGTCACGAGTCTCACAGTATTAATGTGGACATCCTCTGGAAACATGGACCAGTTTTTGCTCAACTCCGATTGCGTCATGATAAAAAAAAAAATGTTCCTGTTTTTAGACTTGAAAGCGTCGCTCACCTCTGCATCCAGTGGGGGCCGCCGCGTCGCTGCTTCCATCAGGCCTAGACAGCTCTGGACCCGGGGGGAGCGCAGACCATTGCCCGCCTCCGAGTCCGTGTTCCCCTCGAGAGTAATCACCGGGAGCAACGTCCGCGTCAGCCCGTGGTTTGGAGCCGGAGCAGAGGGGAAACTGGAGCCCGTGACGAGACGCGCTCTCCCGGGTGAAGCTCTGCCAGATGTCCGCTGTTCTGGGATGGATGAGAGCGGAGGAGAGAGGTCCCGCCCCCTGTCAGTGCCTCGGCCAATCACAGAGAGCGGAGGAGAAAGGTCCCACCATCTTTCAGCGCTTCCGCCAATCACAGAGAGTAAAGGAGAGAAGTCCCGCCCCCGTCATTATCTCCACCAATCACAGAGAGAGGCACCTGTCACAAGTATTATTCAACATTATATATATTTATGTTTTGATTGACTATGCAAGTATTTGAATTAGTTTGAAAAATATAGATATATACTATGTCATCGTTTTCGTTTTGTGAGTTTTTCCTTCTCCTCACACGGGTCCAGGACACTAAAGAGACCCGGGGCGGTTTGTGGACCCGGCCTTGAACCCGCCTCACGACCCAGTCTTCTGTGAACACTGCGACAAACACAGCGACGCTGCTCAAAGGAAGATGGTTCTAAAACCACTGTTGTTGAGAGACCAGAGAGAGAGACCAGAGAGAGAGACCAGAGAGAGACCAGAGAGAGACCAGAGAGAGACCAGAGAGAGACCAGAGAGAGACCAGAGAGTGAGACCAGAGAGAACAGAGAGAGACCAGAGAGAGAGACCAAAGAGAGACCAGAGAGAGGCCAGAGAGAGAGACCAGAGAGAGACCAGAGAGAGAGACCAGAGGGTGAGACCAGAGAGAGACCAGAGAGAGAGACCAGAGAGACCAGAGAGAGAGACCAGAGAGAGACCAGAGAGAGACTGGAGAGAGACCAGAGAGAGACCAGAGAGAGAGACCAGAGAGAGACCAGAGAGATAGACCAGAGAGAGACCGGAGATAGACCAGAGAGAGACCAGAGAGAGACCAGAGAGAGACCAGAGAGAGACCAGAGAGATAGACCAGAGAGAGACTGGAGATAGACCAGAGAGAGCCCAGAGAGAGACCAGAGAAAGATCAGAGAGAGACCAGACAAAGAGCAGAGAGAGACTAGAGAGAGACCAGAGAGAGAGACTGGAGAGAGACCAGAGAGAGAGACCAGAGAGAGACCAGAGAGATAGACCAGAGAGAGAGACCAGAGAGAGACCGGAGATAGACCAGAGAGAGACTGGAGAGAGACTAGAGAGAGACCAGAGAGAGACCAGAGAGAGACCATAAAGAGACCAGAGAGAGAGACCAGAGAGAGACCAGAGAGAGAGACTAGAGAGAGACTACAGCACTCAATATTGAGATTTTAAAGGTTCTTAATGTACAGACGTCATACTGATCTCTGAGCTGATGGTACGTCTCCTTTAAACACATAGTAAACCTGGTACGCTGTAATTAGCCCAGATGTGGTGTGGCATCCGTGACATCTGCGCTCCGGATCCAAACGCACCAATTTGCACCGTCTGATTAAGTCTGATTAAGCGGTTAGAGCTAATGAGATGATTTGGTGTTGGGGCCGCTACGAGGAAACATCTGCAGACAAATAATGACTGTTTTTATCACTGTGTTAAAGGAGATTATTCTGATCCATCTCTGGCCTCTCTCTGGTCTCTCTCTGGTCTCTCTCTGGTCTCTCTCTGGTCTCTCTCTCTGGTCTCTCTCTGGTCTCTGTCTCTCTCTGGTCTCTCTCTGGTCTCTCTCTCTGGTCTCTCTCTGGTCTCTCTCTGGTCTCTCTCTGATCTTTCTCTGGTCTCTCTCTGGTCTCTCTCTGCTCTCTGTCTGGTCTCTCTCTCTGGTCTCTCTCTGGTCTCTCTCTGATCTTTCTCTGGTCTCTCTCTGGTCTCTCTCTGGTCTCTCTCTGATCTTTCTCTGGTCTCTCTCTGGTCTCTCTCTGCTCTCTGTCTGGTCTCTCTCTGGTCTCTCTCTCTGGTCTCTCTCTGGTCTCTCTCTGGTCTCTCTCTCTGGTCTCTCTCTGGTCTCTCTCTGATCTTTCTCTGGTCTCTCTCTCTGGTGTCTCTCTGGTCTCTCTCTGATCGTTTTCTGGTCTCTCTCTCTGCTCTCTCTCTGGTCTCTATCAGCTCTATCTCTGATCTTTCTCTGGTCTCTCTCCAATTTCTCTCTTGCCTCTCAGAAATAAACAGTGTCTCTCTGTGCAGTGGAATGAGAACATACGTGCACAGCTGTAACACACGGTTACCGCTCTCACACAGGAGAGCGGTAACCGTGGCAACGCTTCAGGGACAACAACATAGCAACCGCCTCCGCCTCCAGGTAAACGAGTTCATCCGACTTCAGACTCAGGTGATGAGCTGCTGTGGGATTCCTCTGCAGAAGTCTGTGCTCCTCAGGGACCAGCAGGAGGGCAGTCCCTGTGCTCCTCAGTCTCTGATGTCTCACTCTGGTCTCTCTCTCTTATCTCTCTGGTCTCTCTCTGGTCTCTCCCTTGTCTCTCTCTGACCTCGCTCTCTTTTTTTCTAGTCTCTCTTTCTGCTCTCTCTCTCTCTGATCTCTCTTTCCCTCTCTCCCTGGTCTCTCATGGTCTCTCCCTTGTCTCTCTCTAGTCTCTCTCTTATTTTTCTAGTCTCTCTTTCTGCTCTCTCTCCCCCTCTCTTTCTGGTCTCCCCTGGTGTCTCTCTGATCTCTCTCTCTCTCTGGTCTCTCTCTGTTCCTTCCTGATCGCTCTCTTTGGCCTCTCTCGCTCTTATCTTTCTAGTCTCTCTTTCTGGTCTCTCTCTCTGGTCTCTCCATAGTTCGTTATAATGCAATTCCCTGCACTGTGCCGCCCCCGTGTGGCTGCACTGAGAACAACACGACTGAAGCAAGAAAATAAAAGACACAAATAAACCTCACGACTCGCAACAATCAAATCTTCTGCCTTTAGTCCTGTTTCTATGGCAACGACAGATGGACAATAATCAAGCAAAAGCTGACATTAAGGTTTTCATCATATAATATGCTAATAATATGTATATAGAACTGTACACTTGTGGCCTTTGTGACCAATATTATAATAAAAAATAATGATTACATGAATTAACTTTTCTTTCTGGTCTTTCTCTGGTTTGTGTGGTCTCTCTCTGGCCTATCTTGTCTCTCTCTTTAGTCTCACTATGATCTCTCTTTCTCTCTCTCTCTTTAATCTCGCTCTCTGGGCTCTCTCTAGTCTCTCTCTGGTCTTTCTCTGGTCTTTCTCTCTGGTCTCTCCTTTGTGAACAACATAGATAATACATATAATTGAACCACAGACTGTACATATTTTTTCAACCAAATGAATGAACTTTGCTTGTTCCTAGTCGGACGTGTTTCCCTGTCACACTCTTCCGGGTACAGCTGGTCACGTTCCCGTCTCCGTTTGCAGCGCGTCATCCTCACTCCAGACCTCCACAAGCCGCGGCTCTGCTTCTCCCCTGGTCCCCTGGTCCCCTGCGCCTCCGTCCGGACCGTGTGCCCCCGGTAAGCCCTGTCCCTCCCCCGGGGGAAGCTGTCCAGATGCGCGGCTCAGTCTGTGCGTCGTCACGTTACGTTTTGGGAATGCTCACCGTAGCGTGTTCCGTCCCCATCTGGTCCGTGTGCAAAGAATGTAGATTTTTTAGACAAAACAAATGCAAATGTGTGTGGAGCTGGTGGTTTTCAAGCCTAGAATGTATCCTCAAGTTTAGCCTTTTCCATATGCAGTCTGTGTTGGTAATGTCATTTTAATATTTTACTTAAAATTAATTATTTTTTTATATTGTCTCCTTTTTTATGCCAAAACTAGAGATTTTATACTAGCTTCTTTTATTATGCTAGAGTTACAGATTTTATACTAGCTTCTTTATTATGCTAATTATGCTTAAATTTTCATTTTTAGTGTAGTTATTATTGCTGTAACTGGCAGTGTTGGGCACGTTACTTTGAAAAAGTAATTAGTTATAGTTACTAGTTACTTCTCCCAAAAATTAACTGAGTTACTAACGGAGTTACTCCACTATAAAAGTAACTAGTTACCAGTAAAAGTAACTATTGCGTTACTTTTTCGTTTTGTTCTGGAACATAATGTGCACTCAACCTCAGTGAGTTTAAACAGTGCCAATATTTCCATCTAGAAAAGGCTGTTTTTCTGCTGAAGTCCTGTTCACTCTTCATCTCTCTCTGTGCTGTAAGCACTAAACACCAACACCTGCCACTGTGAATGTGGAAACACCGGTGAAGCACTGACTTCAGCCCAATCAGATGAACATATACATCATATAAATCAAGTGGACAATTTGTTTGGCTACAGCAAAATATGTTTTATGCCCGCATTGTTTGTTCATACAAAACGCAAAACTATGAGTTATGGGTCTTACCTTATAGCTATACCTTATAAATGACCTGCACAGTCCACTTCGGTTCAGACCAGTTCCTTGTTTAAATCCAGTTAATGGTTTGAGCGTAGATATGTAATCCTCCATTTGGAAATGAGTCCAATGAGTTTTAAAAAGTAAAACAAAACGCGTGTGTCCTCCATAAACTCCTGTGTTTTGCTGCAGCCGGCTGCATCCGATTTCTAAAACCAACCGTCTTACACTTCACCTCTCTTTCTTATCATTCCTATAGTAATTGAAAAATTACCCTATGTGCATTTTAGATTATGTAAAAATGTGTTATATGTATGTTAGCCAAACCTGCTGCTGTCCTTAGCAGATAAACCAGGAAGAGAAAGGAGCTTATCGATGGAATTGTATGCAGCCGACTTCTGCGCTCACATGAGCTCCTCTGTGGCCTCACGGTGATACAAGCCGTGGTTGAGCGCGATTAAGACCCATATTTGTTTCAAAAACACAATTTATGACCATCCTCTCAACTGTAGACATGTAGATTGTAAAGGAAATATGTTTTACATCAGCCAATAATATCTGAGAGGTTTTCTCATCCTTCTCTCACGACAACACGTTCATTGTGCGTCTTGAGTAACGCGCAGTAACGGGATGTCGGAAATGATAACGGCGTTATAGTTACTGTCAAAGTAATTAGTTAGATTACTCGTTACTGAAAAAAGTAACGGCGTTAGTAACGCCGTTACTAGTAACGCCGTTATTCCCATCACTGGTAACTGGTGATGCAAAACTGAAATGTCTCCACTGTAGGATGAATAATGGATCTCGTCATCTTAATATTTATCTTAATAAATATATGCAGGCCCCGCTCCTCCTCAACCCTCCGGCTCCTGTCAGCAAATACACTGCTGTCTGTTAAGTTGTTTCTCTTATCCCTCTGTATAACCTGGACCCTCTCTCTCTGTGTGTCTCTTTCTCTTTCTTTCTCTCTGTCTCTCTGACTGAAGAAGATGACAAAGTCTGGGATTGTGTCTTTAATTCAGACAGAAGACATGTTTTATTGTCGATGGAGGAATGGAGTCTTCCAATCAGTAATAGCCACGGTGCCAGTAGCTTTGGCGTTCATAAATCAGAACATACAGTGGAAAAGTACTGTCTTGTGCATATGTTAGTATTATGAGTTAGAATTTTAACCACAGTTGCTTCAAAGTGTCATGAAATCTCTAAATTTGACTTTCTGTCTCTCTCTCTCTCCCTCCATCTCCCTCAGACCATGTGTTTACTTGTCCTCTGTATAACTCTTTCTCTCAGATCATGGCCCTCTGTATAACCTGGTCTCTCTCTCTCTCTCTCTCTCTCTCTCTCTCTCAGACCATGCGTTTGCCGGTCCTGCTGGTGGCCGCCGTGGCTGCCTTCGTGAGCGTGGCGGCGGCAGAGAAGAAGAAGCTGCAGATCGGGATAAAGAAGCGCGTGGACGACTGCCCCGTGAAGAGCCGCAAAGGAGACGTGCTAAACATGCACTACACGGGACGCCTGGAGGACGGCACCGAGTTCGACAGCAGCATCCCCCGCAACCGGCCCTTCACCTTCACCCTGGGCACGGGACAGGTCTGACCCCTCTCACCCCCTCTCACCCACTCACCCCCTCTCACCTCCTCTCACCCCCTTTCACCGCTCTGAGCTGCTCTGCAAAAAAAAAAAACAATTGTTGAAATAGAGAATGCCGTGGGAGGCCAGAGAGAGAGGGAAGCCAGAGAGAGAGAGGGAGGCCAGAGAGAGAGGGAGACCAGAGAGAGAGGGAGGCCAGAGAGAGAGGGAGGCCAGAGAGAGAGGGAGGCCAGAGAGAGAGGGAGACCAGAGAGAGAGGGAGACCAGAGAGAGAGAGGGAGGCCAGAGAGAGAGAGGGAGACCAGAGAGAGAGAGGGAGACCAGAGAGAGAGAGGGAGGCCAGAGAGAGAGGGAGGCCAGAGAGAGAGGGAGACCAGAGAGAGAGGGAGACCAGAGAGAGAGGGAGTCCAGAGAGAGAGAGAGGGAGGCCAGAGAGAGAGGGAGACCAGAGAGAGAGGGAGACCAGAGAGAGAGGGAGGCCTGAGAGAGAGGGAGGCCTGAGAGAGAGGAGGCCTGAGAGAGAGGGAGACCAGAGAGAGAGGGAGGCCAGAGAGAGAGGGAGGCCAGAGAGAGAGAGAGGCCAGAGAGAGAGAGGGGGGCCAGAGAGAGAGGGAGGCCAGAGAGAGAGGGAGGCCAGAGAGAGAGGGAGGCCAGAGAGAGAGAGAGGCCAGAGAGAGAGAGGGGGGCCAGAGAGAGAGGGAGGCCAGAGAGAGAGGGAGGCCAGAGAGAGAGGGAGGCCAGAGAGAGAGGGAGGCCAGAGAGAGAGAGAGGCCAGAGAGAGAGAGGGAGACCAGAGAGAGAGGGAGACCAGAGAGAGAGGGAGACCAGAGAGAGGGAGGGAGGCCAGAGAGAGAGGGAGGCCAGAGAGAGAGAGAGGCCAGAGAGAGAGAGGGAGACCAGAGAGAGAGGGAGACCAGAGAGAGAGGGAGACCAGAGAGAGAGGGAGGCCAGAGAGAGAGAGGGGGGCCAGAGAGAGAGAGGGAGACCAGAGAGAGAGAGGGAGACCAGAGAGAGAGAGGGAGACCAGAGAGAGAGAGGGAGACCAGAGAGAGAGAGGGAGACCAGAGAGAGAGAGGGAGACCAGAGAGAGAGAGGGAGACCAGAGAGAGAGAGGGAGACCAGAGAGAGAGAGGGAGACCAGAGAGAGAGAGGGAGGCCAGAGAGAGAGAGAGCGAGGCCTGAGACTTTTCAAAGAGAAGTTGAATGTATGATCTTGTTAACATGATTTGCAGAACTGTCACCCGCCTCAGTGATGTGTCATTTATCCACTGATGTTACTTCCTGAATGGGCGTGGTCAGCCTGTTGGACTCGTTTAGAGAGAGAGACCAGAGAGAGAGAGACCAGAGAGAGAGAGACCAGAGAGAGAGAGACCAGAGAGAGAGACAGACCAGAGAAAGACAGACCAGAGAGAGAGAGACCAGAGAGAGACCAGAGAGAGACCAGAGAGAGACCAGAGAGAGACCAGAGAGAGACCAGAGAGAGACCAGAGAGAGACCAGAGAGAGACCAGAGAGAGAGAGCCACCAGAGAGAGACCAGAGAGAGAGAGAGAGGGAGGGAGAGAGAGAGCAGAGAGAGAGCCACCAGAGAGAGCCACCAGAGAGATTGTGACAGTGACAAATCTTCAAACCAAGAGATATTTGCGTCACTTGAGTGTGTGTTTCTCTGACTGGGGCCTGGTGTTTTCAGGTGATCAAAGGCTGGGACCAGGGTCTGCTGGGGATGTGCGAGGGCGAGAAGAGGAAGCTGGTGATCCCCTCTGAGCTGGGCTACGGCGACCGAGGAGCCCCCCCCAAGATCCCCGGGGGGGCCACTCTGATCTTTGAAGTGGAGCTGCTGAGTATCGAGCACCGGAACGAGCTGTGACAGGCTAAAGCTGGGGTACCTGACTTTAGTCTCATACAGGACCCAGAGAGGGGGAGAGACCAGAGAGGGGGAGAGACCAGAGAGGGGGAGAGACCAGAGAGGGGGAGAGACCAGAGAGGGGGAGAGACCAGAGAGGGGGAGAGACCAGAGAGGGGGAGAGACCAGAGAGAGACCAGAGAGAGACCAGAGAGAGACCAGAGAGAGACCAGAGAGAGACCAGAGAGAGACCAGAGAGAGACCAGAGAGAGACCAGAGAGAGACCAGAGAGAGACCAGAGAGAGACCAGAGAGGGAGGGAGGAGAGACCAGAGAGGGAGGGAGGAGAGACCAGAGAGGGAGGGAGGAGAGACCAGAGAGGGAGAGGGACAGTGTTGTGCCAGTTCACAGCTTTTCTGAACTAGTTAAAGTTCAGTTCATTTTACTTTTTTGGTGAAATAGTCAAATAAATATTTTTTTCACACTACGAGCTATATATATATATATATATATATATAATATATATATATATATATATATATATATATATATATATATATATGTCTCCTGTACACCCACAGGAGGAGAGCCTTTTGACCACAAAACAGACTAGATTTACATGGTTTTCAATGGAAGCAAAACAGAGTTGTTCCATCTCTGCTCATAAACTACAGACAGTAATGCGCTGCAGTGCTGTGTCTATACTTTATGTCAAATTTAAACGGTGTAAACTTTGTCGCTAACTCACCCTGTGTTTTCATCACGACTCGGGCACATGTGAAAAGCACCAGCTCACAGCGCCGCACCGCAACACGGAGTCAGGGTGCGTTCACAGACGGTGGAAACCGTAGGAATGTTTAGTTTTCTGCGGAAAAAGTGCGTTTCAAAAGAGAAAACGGATTCCAACGTTCATAGTGATGTCTGCCGTTCATGACACATAAAAAGAACTAATTCACGTTCAAGTTCTTTTTTTAAAAATGTGTTGCGTTCAGTTCAACGTTCACGAAAAACTGAGCGTGTTCAATGAACGCGTTCTTTTGAACTCGTTCACGCACAACACTGGAGAGGGAGCAGGAGCAACCAGAGAGGGAGAGGGAGCGACCAGAGAGGGAGCGGGAGCGACCAGAGAGGGAGAGGGAGCGACCGGAGAGGGAGAGGGAGCGACCAGAGAGGGAGAGGGAGCGACCAGAGAGGGAGAGGGAGCGACCAGAGAGGGAGCGGCGACCGCGACCGGAGAGGGAGAGGGAGCGACCGGAGAGGGAGAGGGAGCGACCGGAGAGGGAGAGGGAGCGACCGGAGAGGGAGAGGGAGCGACCGGAGAGGGAGCGACCCGAGAGGGAGCGACCGGAGAGGGAGCGACCGGAGAGGGAGAGGGGAGCGACCGGAGAGGGAGAGGGAGCGACCAGAGAGGGAGCGGGAGCGACCAGAGAGGGAGCGACCGGAGAGGGAGCGACCGGAGAGGGTTTGAGGGAGCGACCGGAGAGGGAGAGGGAGCGACCGGAGAGGGAGCGACCAGAGAGGGAGAGGGAGCGACCGGAGAGGGAGCGACCAGAGAGGGAGAGGGAGCGACCGGAGAGGGAGCGACCGAGAGGGAGCGACCGGAGAGGGAGCGACCGAGAGAGAGACCAGAGAGAGAGACCAGAGGGAGACCAGAGAGAGAGCCAGAGAGAGACCAGAGAGAGAGAGCCAGAGAGAGACCAGAGAGAGACCAGGAGAGCGAGACCAGAGAGAGACCAGAGAGAGAGACCAGAGAGAGAGACCAGAGAGAGAGACCAGAGAGAGAGACCAGGAGAGAGACCAGAGAGAGAGAGACCAGAGAGAGAGACCAGAGAGAGACCAGAGAGAGACCAGAGAGAGGACCAGAGAGAGAGACCGAGAGAGAGACCAGAGAGAGAACAGAGAGAGAGACCAGAGAGAGACCAGAGCCGAGAGATACCAGAGAGAGACCAGAGAGAGACGAGAGAGACCAGAGAGAGAGACCAGAGAGAGACCAGAGAGAGAGACCAGAGAGAGACCAGAGAGAGAGACCAGAGAGAGACCAGAGAGAGACCAGAGAGAGAGACCAGAGAGAGAGACCAGAGAGAGACCAGAGAAGAGAGACCACAGAGAGAGGACCAGAGAGGAGACCAGAGAGAGAGAGAGAGAGAGACAGAGAGAGAGAGCCCAGAGAGAGACCAGAGAGAGACCAGAGAGAGACCAGAGAGAGACCAGAGAGAGACCAGAGAGAGAGAGAGACCAGAGAGAGAGAGAGAGAGACCAGAGAGAGAGAGAGAGAGAGACCAGAGAGAGACCAGAGAGAGACCAGAGAGAGAGAGACCAGAGAGAGACCAGAGAGAGACCAGAGAGAGACCAGAGAGAGAGACCAGAGAGAGAGACCAGAGAGAGACCAGAGAGAGACCAGAGAGAGACCAGAGAGAGAGACCAGAGAGAGACCAGAGAGAGAGAGAGAGACCAGAGAGAGACCAGAGAGAGACCAGAGAGAGACCAGAGAGGACCAGAGAGAGACCAGAGAGAGACCAGAGAGAGAGACCAGAGAGAGGACCAGAGAGAGACCGAGAGGCTCGAGAGGGATGGATGGATGAGAGAGAGACCAGAGAGAGACCAGAGAGAGAGACCAGAGAGAGAGACCAGAGAGAGAGACCAGAGAGAGACCAGAGAGAGACCAGACCAGAGAGACAGAGAGAGACCAGAGAGAGAGACCAGAGAGAGAGACCAGAGAGAGACCAGAGAGAGAGACCAGAGAGAGACCAGAGAGAGAGACCAGAGAGAGAGACCAGAGAGAGACCAGAGAGAGAGACCAGAGAGAGACCAGAGAGAGAGAGACCAGAGAGAGAGACCAGAGAGAGACCAGAGAGAGACCAGAGAGAGAGACCAGAGAGAGAGACCAGAGAGAGACCAGAGAGAGACCAGAGAGAGAGACCAGAGAGAGAGACCAGAGAGAGAGACCAGAGAGAGACCAGAGAGAGAGACCAGAGAGAGAGACCAGAGAGAGACCAGAGAGAGAGACCAGAGAGAGAGACCAGAGAGAGACCAGAGAGGAGACCAGAGAGAGAGACCAGAGAGAGACCAGAGAGAGAGACCAGAGAGAGAGACCAGAGAGAGAGACCAGAGAGAGAGACCAGAGAGAGAGACCAGAGAGAGACCAGAGAGAGAGACCAGAGAGAGACCAGAGAGAGAGACCAGAGAGAGAGACCAGAGAGAGACCAGAGGAGAGAGAGACCAGAGAGAGACCAGAGAGAGACCAGAGAGAGAGACCAGAGAGAGACCAGAGAGAGAGACCAGAGAGAGACCAGAGAGAGACCAGAGAGAGAGACCAGAGAGAGACCAGAGAGAGAGACCAGAGAGAGAGACCAGAGAGAGACCAGAGAGAGAGACCAGAGAGAGAGACCAGAGAGAGACCAGAGAGAGAGACCAGAGAGAGACCAGAGAGAGAGACCAGAGAGAGAGACCAGAGAGAGAGACCAGAGAGAGACCAGAGAGAGACCAGAGAGAGAGACCAGAGAGAGACCAGAGAGAGACCAGAGAGAGAGACCAGAGAGAGACCAGAGAGAGACCAGAGAGAGAGACCAGAGAGAGAGACCAGAGAGAGACCAGAGAGAGAGACCAGAGAGAGAGCCAGAGAGAGAGACCAGAGAGAGACCAGAGAGAGACCAGAGAGAGAGACCAGAGAGAGAGACCAGAGAGAGAGACCAGAGAGAGAGACCAGAGAGAGACCAGAGAGAGACCAGAGAGAGAGACCAGAGAGAGACCAGAGAGAGACCCAGAGAGAGAGACCAGAGAGAGAGACCAGAGAGAGACCAGAGAGACCAGAGAGAGAGACCAGAGAGAGAGACCAGAGAGAGACCAGAGAGAGACCAGAGAGAGAGACCAGAGAGAGACCAGAGAGAGACCAGAGAGAGAGACCAGAGAGAGAGACCAGAGAGAGACCAGAGAGAGAGACCAGAGAGAGACCAGAGAGAGACCAGAGAGAGAGACCAGAGAGAGACCAGAGAGAGAGACCAGAGAGAGACCAGAGAGAGACCAGAGAGAGAGACCAGAGAGAGAGACCAGAGAGAGACCAGAGAGAGAGACCAAGAGAGAGACCAGAGAGAGACCAGAGAGAGAGACCAGAGAGAGACCAGAGAGAGACCAGAGAGAGACCAGAGAGAGAGACCAGAGAGAGAGACCAGAGAGAGAGACCAGAGAGAGAGACCAGAGAGAGACCAGAGAGAGAGACCGAGAGAGACGACCAGAGAGAGGAGACCAGAGAGAGAGACCAGAGAGAGAGACCAGAGAGAGACCAGAGAGAGACCAGAGAGAGACCAGAGAGAGACCAGAGAGAGAGAGAGAGAGACCAGAGAGAGAGACCAGAGAGAGAGACCAGAGAGAGACCAGAGGAGAGACCAGAGAGGAGACCAGAGAGAGACCAGAGAGAGACCAGAGAGAGAGACCAGAGAGAGACCAGAGAGCGACCAGAGGGAGAGGGAGAGAGACCAGAGAGAGACCAGAGGAGAGACCAGAGAGGAGAGGACCAGAGAGAGAGACCAGAGAGAGACCAGAGAGAGCGACCAGAGAGAGAGACCAGAGAGAGACCAGAGAGAGGACCAGAGAGAGACCAGAGAGAGACCAGAGAGAGACCAGAGAGAGAGACCAGAGAGAGACCAGAGAGAGGACCAGAGAGAGACCAGAGAGAGACCAGAGAGAGACCAGAGAGAGACCAGGAGAGACCAGAGAGAGACCAGAGAGAGACCAGAGAGAGAGACCAGAGAGAGAGCCCAGAGAGAGACCAGAGAGAGACCAGAGAGAGACCAGAGAGAGAGACCAGAGAGAGAGACCAGAGAGAGACCAGAGAGAGAGACCAGAGAGAGACCGAGAGAGAGACCAGAGAGAGACCAGAGAGAGACCAGAGAGAGAGACCAGAGAGAGAGACCAGAGAGAGAGAGAGGAGACCAGAGAGAGACCAGAGAGAGAGACCAGAGAGAGAGACCAGAGAGAGACCAGAGAGAGAGACCAGAGAGAGAGACCAGAGAGAGACCAGAGAGAGAC